CTGACAAGTGCAATTTCTGCTGGTTCCAGCTTTTTGATGCAGAACTATGTACTAGTAACCTCCCCGAGAAGTACTGAAAAGATAAAATCCATCCATGAGATATGTTAATCAATAATGTAATTTGTTCTTTCACTCACCAGATGGAAAGTACAGTAGAGTATACCATTTCCCAGATGTATTGGATATTTTTTTTTTCTGTTTCATTTTTCTCTTCCGGAAGGGTATTCTGACACATCCTTTAAAGGCATCATCTCTCAGTTAGGCCCTGTCCCTGTTGGGTCAGACCCTCACGTCCCTAAAGACAGATCTTGGGCAAGATATATTCACCCCTTGAGACTGCTCTAAGGAGATGCAGAATGTGAGAGCTTTGCCAAACAGTAGCTGAAAGGCAAATAGTTGATCTACCCCAACATTTTTAATACAAAACAGTTCTCTCTGAGACACCAGATTTGAATGAAAATCAACTCATTGAAAACTCGCGTAATAATTGCATTGAGAACAAGTTCAAGGAAAATGCCGATTATGAAAATAAAGATAAACTACCAAATGAGATCAAGCTGTACCATAGGAAATATAAAACCAGTTATTGGTACATTGTACTTGGAACTCTGGGTGAAATTATTACAGTTATATCATAAACAGAAGTAGACAATCATGTAGGCCAACAGAAAACTGATACCGTTCATTATTGCAAAGAGAAAACATATGTAACTTAACAATATTTTCTCCTTAAATGTCTATGGTCTAATATTCCTTATTTAAATTTATTACTTGAAGATTTTTACAAACCATAAACTACTAAGACAGCAAAAGCCTTTACATTGAATTTTAATGAAGTAATTATTAATAAATGGGCTTCCCTGATGGCTCAGATGGTAAAGAATCTGCCTGCAATGCAGGAGACCTGGGTTCAACCCCTAGGTTGGGAAGATCCCCTGGAGGAGGGCATGGCAACCCGCTCCAGTATTCTTGCCTGAAGAATCCCATGGACAGAGGAGCCTAAATTAATAAATGCTTTCTTATTTTACAGAGACAACATTAGAAAAGGCTTATATATACTAAATTTGGTAAACATTATTCCCATTCTCCTACCTTCAGTTTCCTCACCTGTAAAATGTAATCATATATGTGAAATATCTTATACAAAGACCTTAAATGACGGAACACAAAATAAATCTATGGTACCTTTCTTTGAGTCCCCTCCTGGTGGGCCAACACTACAGATCAAATTATAGTTATCCTGTTTGCTTCCCAACAGATTTAGGATGGCTTTTGAAGGTCAAGTAGAGCACAATAGTGGCTGCTTCCCTAATCCTTAAGAAAGTTATATCGTACTGTTTTGCTAACAAGACTGGAATGGTAAGACCTCAAATGTTAGAAAAATGGAATGAAAAAAATTTTTCGAACTCCGTTAGTGAGTGACCTTTTAAGACTCTGTGCGTGTGTGTGTGTGTGTGTGTGTGTGTGTGTATGCTCAGTAGTGTCCAGCTTTGCAACCCCAAAGACTGTAGCACACCAGGCTCCTCTGTCCATGGGGTTTCCCAGGCAAGAATATTGGAGTGGGTTACCATTTCCTTCTCCAGGAGATCTTCCCAACCCAGAGATTGAACCTACGTCTCTCGAGCCTCCTGCATTGGCAGGTGGGTTCTTTACCACTAGTGCCACCCAGGAAGCCACGTTTGAAGACTGGGAACTTTTAAAAACTTCCATCACTGATGTCTCAGTGTCTTAGTCCACTCAGGCTACTATAACAGAATACCATAGACTTAGACTTAGGTGACTTAGAAACAACAGAAATTTATTTTTCACTGTTCTGGGGGCTGAAAATTCCAAGTTCAGGTACTGCTAAATTCAGTGTCTGGTGACAGTCCATTTTCTGGTTCATAGATTACTGTCTTTTTGCAGTGTCCTCTCATGACAGAATGTAACAAGGGAGTTCTCTGAGATCCCTTTTAAAGAACACTAATCCCATTCATGAGGGCTCTAACCTCATGACCTAATTACCTCCCAAAGGCCTCACCTTCTAATACCATCACTGGGGATTAGATTTCAACATTTGAATTTGGTGGGGAGAGGGACAACACACAAATATTCAGCCGGTATAAAACTAAAACAGTATATAAAACTAAAACTGGTATATATGCTATGAGTGTAGTTGATCATGGGACTCACTCTGCTAGTCCTTTGTTTGAAGAAGACCACCAAGAAGCTAAACTAGCCACTGGCAAGGTTGGAGGGGTACTGTAGGAAACAGAATCTGGAACTAGTCATTTAGGTTCTTGTGTCATTCAAACTGTACTAGGCTCTTTACAGCCCTTATAAAATGTAAATATAATAATCCTGATAGTAAGATATGATTTTGGCAGTTAGAAAAGGATATATTTTCTCTTGTCATGAATTTGGCAAATAAAAACAATTATATCAACAATCTGGTTGGTATCTAAAAAGGCTTTTTTCTTTAAATCAGGAAAGAAATGGCAGAATGTTATAGAATCTCTGCCTCTTTACCACTGGAATTTTATTAGGTTAATTATTTTTCTTGAGTCTTTAGCATCGACTCATTTTCTGTTATTAACTCTATGAGTATGACCCCAGTTTTACCTTGGAAGGATCCAAAGTAGAAAGAAAGAAGGAAAATAAGAAAATCCTATCCAGCAATTCCACTTCAGGACATATACATCTGAATAAAATGAAATTATCATGTCAAAAAGATATCTGCACCTCCACATATACTGCAGCATTGTTTCCGATAGCCATTGACATGGAAACAGCCTAAGTGTCCATCAAACAGATGAATGGAAAAAGAGAATATGATATATATATGTGTGTGTATATATATATACACACACACACACAATAAACCCGTACACATGGACCTTCAAGTTGCAAACTTTCAAAGATGCAAACTTGTGTTTGCACGTCCAGTCACGTACGTTAGTTCATATGGCCCTGTACATTGTCTCAGGCTAGCATCCTCTCCAGGCGGTTCTGCTTTTGTGTACTTTGCTGTACATTACTGCGTGGAGTACAGTAGTACGGTATCTTTATTTCAAGCACAGGAAGTCTGGAAGCAAATGTAAAAGCAGCAGGAATGTAGCTGGTACTGCTAAGAAGCACCATGCAGTAATGACAGAACCAAACTCGAAAAGAATTGAGAGAGTGGAGCAGAAGTGGGTAGATATTACTTGTTCTTATAACATAAATAGTTCAGCCACCGGCACAGTTCTGAAAGACAAAATCATGGAACATGTGAGGTCTGCTATGCTGATGACATCAACAATAATATAACGAAGCATCAGCATAGAAAAGTGATAAAGGAGATGGAGGAACTTCTCAGAGTGTGGATGCAGGATCAGCACAGCATCAAGCCCCACTTAGAAAGCTGAACGGCTTTATGAAGACTTGATATCAGAGGGTGCATCTTCTAAAGCCAACCGTGGCTGGTTCCATTGGTTCGAGGTCAGAGCCAATCTTAACAACATAAAAGTAAGTGGCGAGGCAAATACAGCAAGTGGAAATGCAGATACAATAGCTGCCCGGGAATTTCCTGAGGCTCTTTGAGAAATTATTGATGAAGGCACATATTTACCCAAGAAGGTTTTTAATGGGGATGAGACAGGACTGTACTGGAAGAGGATGCCAGACTAAAGTTACATCAGTAAGGAGGAAAAGTTGATGCCAGCCTATAAAGCAGCCAAGAATAGGCTAAACTTGTTGTTTGGTGGCAATGCTTTCAGAGATAAGAAGCCGAAGCCTTTCTTAGTTTATCATTCATAGAACCCAGGAGCCCTTGAAAATATAGCCAAGGGCTCTATTCCTGTTGTGTGGAAGAGTAGCCCCAAAGCCCGGATTACACGGGCCATTGTACAAGACTAGTTTTTCCACCACTTTATCCCAAAGATAGGGAAATATTGTTTGGAGAAGGAAATCCCACTCAATATATTTTGCTGCTCAAAAATGCTCCAGGCTGCATTCACGAATGACTTTAACCCCATCATCAAAATAGTGCATCTGTGTGGGGAGAGGGCAAATTGGCCAAGACGGGTGTTCAGGATCTCTCGCCCCATGTTTTGTAAATAATCACTACGTATCAGCTGAGATCATTTGTAGCACTGCGCATGTGCGTCATGAGGTGCATGCTCGGTCACAGGCTGCCCTGTGCTGTAGGGATATATGAGCTCCACCTAGAAAGCAGTGGCATTGCTGCTGCATCACGGCTGTGTACGTGGGGTCAGCCACAAGAGCAGAAAATATAGGTGTCTACGGCTGCAGCGGCTGCATCAGCCAGGAGAGAGGTGGTGTTGTGTTAGGTTACGCTACGGCTGCAGCTACGGCGGCTGCACCAGCCAGGAGAGAACGAACATGTCTGCAGTTCCTACGCTCCTCAAGTCTGCTTCCAGCCTCTCAGCTCGGACCTTGCCCCCTGGGTCAGTGAACAGTGAACACCGTGAGATACAGCAATGCAACTGACATCACGAACAGGATCAGCAATACAACTGGCGCATCAAGGAGGGTGAAGAGTGATACAGTCTGCCACTGGATCCTCTGCTGCTCATCCAATCTATGGAACAGGGAGTTATAGTGACCTTCAAGCATTATTATTTATGTCACACTTTGTGTCAAGGCAGTGTGATTGGAAGGACTGATGCTGAAGCTGAAACTCCAATACTTTGGCCACCTAATGCGAAGAGCTGACTCATTTGAGAAGACCCTGATGCTGGGAAAGATTGAAGGTGGAAGGAGAAGGGAATGACAGAGGATGAGATGATTTATGGCCTCACCGACTCAATGGACATGAGTTTGGGTAGACTCTGGGAGTTGCTGATGGACAGGGAGGCCTGGCGTGCTGCAGTCCATGAGGTCGCAGAGTTGGACATGACTGAGAGACTGAACTGAACTGAGAATTAGGAACAACCTTGAAACAATTTTGGAAGAACTATAACATCTACAAGACTATGAAGACATTGATTTTTGCTTGGCTTCAAGTTACAGCTGTCACCATGAATGGAGTGTGGAAGAACAATTGCCCACAGTTTGTTCACGATTTTCGTGGATTTGAGAAGGTGGATGAGGAGTTCAGAGATCTTCAGCAACTTCATGACCATCAGGAGAAGATGGAACTAGGTCTGCACGAGGACAACTTCATTGAGCTTCTTGCTGGGCAACACAGGAAGCTTATGAGTGAAGACCTGGTAGAACTGGAGGCCCAGAGAAAGGACAGAGAGAGACAACAGGGAGAATAAGTGACCGAAGGACCAAAGAGGTTCACAATGCAAGAAATGGCAAGAGGATGTTCTTTACTTGAGGAGGCCCATTTTTGAGGCCTGGAACCCAAATGTAGAACGGTACTCGAAGGTTGCAGCCGCCAGTCACAATGCAGTCCAGCACTGCTATGTCAAATATGATGTGAGAAAAAGAACTGCTGCCCAGGCATCACTGGATCAATTTTTCAAGAAGGCAGATAGAATTGAGTCTAGCGAGGACCCAAAACCCCTGTCATCAGTGTCAGGGGCGAGTGAAATTGTAGCTTGCCCTCTGTTCCCCTTTGCTGGTGATTCTCCGGCTCTTCCGTCTCCCGCCTCCTCTCCCTCCTACAGTCAGTATCTCTTCTTGCCTGTTCCCTTGAACCCCTGTGTGCCAGCTGTCATTCGGCACTACTGTACTTTTCAGAGAACTGTACTGTAAGGTTAGAAATGTTTTCTTTATTTTCTGCATTTGTTTTTCATGGATTATTTGTATGAAAAGTATTAAACACCTACATAGTACTACATCGCCAGTTGTGTTCGTTGGGGACCTAGGCTAACTTTGTTGGACTTTCCAAACAAATTGAACTTAGGAACATGCTCTTGGAACAGAACTCATTCATAGGTAGGCGACTTACTGTATGTATATATATGTATAAGTATATATATATATGGATATATGGATAATATTTGGCTGTAAGAAAGGAAGGAAATCTTGCCATTTGCAACAACATGGATGTATCTTAAGGAACTATGCTAAATGAAATAAGACCAATAGATAAATACTGTTTGATTTCACTTATAGGCGAAATCTAAGAAACAAACAAACAAAACTCATAGAAAAAGAGATAGGGTTTGTTCTTATCAACAGCTGGGAGTGGAGAGAGGGGGAATTGACTAAAGGTGGTTGAGAGGTACAAAGATAAAGTTGTAAGAAAAAAAGACCTTACAAGTTTAGTTGTAAGCTGTAATATAAATTGTAAGATAAATACTGTAAGTTGTAAGAAATAAATACTGGGCATATAGAGTACAAAATGCTGACTATAGTTAACATTGCTGTAGACAGTGCTTCAGATGATCTTTATTTTGACTAACTAGTCTACTTTTCCTTTGACCTATTTATCTGTTTATTGTATACAGTTGCAGGTTTTCTGTTTTTTTTTTTTTCAACCCATGACCTCAAACACTTTTGTACAAAGTGAGTTATAATAAAAATGATAATAAAAATAATAATAGCTACAAATAACAACAATAAAGTTATAGCTTAGACTTTTGGAAGAGGCCCCCAGAGTTCACCCAGTGTAATAGCTGAGATCCAGGGGAGGCAACTTAAGTTTGTGGCAGGCTCAGGAGAAAATCTACAATTTTAATTCTCTGTTTAATACTCTCTTCCCTATTCTAGGATGTCCCTTGGGTCAGGTGCCTTTGATTTTTCAGGGCAAAGTTTCCTGCTATCATCCCAACATCTGGAACCCTTCTATCCTCTGTCAGAAAATCACTGGAAACCATGAAAACACCCTGACCTTTACACAAACATGAAAATTTTCTAAGCAGAGATTCCCATGTGATCCTATTCAGGTAAACACAAAAGTCCAAATTTGGAGTTTCAAGACTGAATAATAGCAAAGATATCTTATAATGTAGTGAGCTGTTCACACTTTATTCAGAGTTTGCAGTTGCACTCTCATACACCTTAGAAATCTGGGAATTGTTTTAAGTATTTGTAGCTGGCAAAAGAGAACAGGGGGAATCCGAAATTAAAGGATTAGCTCTATCCAAGAGGCCATTACCAATCGGAAATTCCTCATATTCTCTGATAAAGATTTCCAAAGTGAACAGCCGCCAAGAAGGCTTTTCCTCCCCCCACCTCCTATCAAAGATTGCATCTCTATTTTAAAAGTCTAATGATGCTGGCCTCTTTCTGGATCCATCTGTGCTATATCTGGAATCTCTGTGCCAAAGAGACTCACGGTCTGGTTTTATTCAGTTGTACTTGCTCTGTGCTTTCTTTTTATGTACACTTTAAATGGTTGTTTTGACCATAGTTCTCATCAAACAAAAGATGTCTATCTTTTATCATTGGGAGATATTGAAAGGAATGTTCCTTCTCTCCCTGCCTCCCAAAGCATTTAGAGTCATTATATAATGAGAAGAGAAATTCCACAGGGACCAACTACCATAAACATGTATAGGTTAAGATATGTGAGTGTATTTTATATTTGATATATTCAATTCAATATCTGAAAGGGCTCAAGTAAATTTATGATGCTCTATTGCAAGCAATGTGATTTTTATAGACTCCAGGGAAAATATACTCTAACTTTTGCTTCTTCATATCAAATGTATATTGAGGAAAAGGCAGCTCATCTTCTCAAGGCACCTGGTCAGACTAAAAGTTTAAGTATTTAAGCTCTATTTGAAGTATACTTCGATGTTTGAAAATGCATTCATTTTGTTTTTTTGTTCTTTTTTTTTTCCATTTATTTTTATTAGTTGGAAGCTAATTACTTTACAACATTGCAGTGGTTTTTGTCATACATTGAAATGAATTAGCCATGGATTTACATGTATTCCCCATCCCGGTCCCCCCTCCCACCTCCCTCTCCACCCGATCCCTCTGGGTCTTCCCAGTGCACCAGGCCCGAGCACTTGTCTCAAATGCATTCATTTTGCATAGGTCTTTTCTGTCACAAGGGCAAACATAGGTAGAAGTACCATCCAACAGTTTTAATATTAGTCCTAAAGTATAATGATTATGTGATTTGAAAATGCAGCTTGCCACGATCTGGAATCTAGGAATGGTGAAATGAGTGAGCCTGCAGCCCGTGTAGTCAGATGTACTCATGTGAGCTCATCCTAGGATGAGATGGAGACAGCAATGCCAAAGGCGAAAGGAGGAGGCAAGCAGAAGACCACAGGGATGCAGTCTCTGCTGACCCTGGTTGATCAGAAGCATTGGAGGTATTGCAAGGAGGTGAAGGTAGTTATTTCTGGTCAACGTGTGTGAGTTTGGATCCCACCTCCAGAAATGTACAGATGTGTTCTCTCTAAGCTCTTAGAGAGAACTCTTTTAAGTTCTTTAACCTCTCTAAGCTTTCTTAGGCTCATCCATAAAGTAGGAAAACAATAGTACTTCATAGTATTGTCAAGATTTAATAAGACGATATAGATAAAGTGCTTATTCAGAGACACCCCTATAAAATGATGGTTAATTACACAGACACCAGCCTCAGTATAAGTTTTAAACATAAACCCATCACTTAACTTTTTGTGAAATTCTCTTTTGGTCTCAGTTTCCTCTTTGGGAATATGGAGATAATAAATATGAGGAGCATTTCTGTGTGCAGATTATATTAGATAATTATAAAAAGTGCCTAATGTACGATAAATGCTCAAAAATATGAGATGTGATTATATTTTTAGCGTTCCTAAAAATGTTACTTGGAAAGCATCCAGGGCCAAAGAAATAGTGCTTCCTTTTCAGCTGTTTGCTTATCTAGCTCCCATCATTCTAAACCCATGTGTTTTGCTCCCAGGAGAAAGGAGGCGTGCTTATTTGACTGTGGGGAACAGGGAAGGTTCCACATTAGGTTTGCATCCTGATCCATCCTGACCCTCCTGTCTATCAATACCTCCAGGATGGGGTGTGCATTGCCCTGCAAGCTGTGAAATCAGATGACTACAGGTATATGCATTTTCCTGCCTGGTATCATGAAGGACTCTCCTTTGAATGTCTGAAGTGAAGAGGTCTTAGACGTTCCTCTTTAGTCACAAATGTGGCCCCCACTGCTAGTGAGCAACCGTCTGTGGCACAGCCCTTGACAAAGGTGATTTCACTAGATGATGAATCTTACTGAACGTCACCACTAAGAACTCTATTGTCTGCCGGCACATAGGGCTGAGGTACAGCCAGGTGTTCCAATGCTGAAATAAAACGACACCGGACTGAATGTTATCAGTTTCATAAGGCATATGCTTGATGTCAGGAATGCTTACTCTTTAAAAAATACATATGTTCGATAATACAGTGCCTTGACTTGTGGCATATTAAGCCCTTGAGCTCACAGATTCAATTGTGTTAATGCGATGAGCATCTTATACAAATGTTAGGCCTTCTCACTCATCACCCAAGAACAACTTGAAACAGCAAGTCTGAATTGTGCGTAGTGAGGGACTGAGGTGGCTCTGGGCAGGAGAGAGGGCGGGCTGCAAAAAGTGATGTGGAGCTAGATTTAGGTAGAGAATAATTTTCTAAAGGACTTTAACACTTATTGAGGTTCATAATCCATAAAACTTGACCTTTTTTCCCAGAGAAAAAGAACCCATGATCTTGTGAAATTGGGTATATGCACATTTTCCCCAAGTTTCTCAGCAACAAAATTTGTCCTTTGACCAATTTTGCCAAGGTAAGAGACCTTTCTATGTATCTACTTTACGGCATGTCTTTCCAGGCCAGGAATGCAGCACAGAACTCTGTATATTAACCGAGTGATCAGATGGTAAAAGAATCACTTTGGCCACTCTCTGCATGAAGGGAACATTTTCTGATGATAAAATAAGTAATTCCATATGTACATGAACTGTTAGTATTTGATTCCTGTTTCTCTTGTAATGTCCTTGGTCTTTTGTCTTTTGAATCAATTAGGTTTGTCTCAAGGGGATAAAAAAAGAAAAAGAAAGAAAAACAGACCACAGTTTAAGCCAAAACATTATAATACTGTCCACTCAACATATGGTGTTTATAGATCTTGAAAACAGAATCAGGAGGAATGCTTCTTTTCCCACATCAGGAGTGGTTTCAGTTTGTTAGCCTTTTAACTCTTTGGTCCTGGAATAGTTCTTATTACAGCCAATAAACTGGTCAGTGAAATCAAGAGAAAATATATTTTGTTAAATAAGATGTGTATGCCTCCATTTTACACAAATATGCCCCTTTGCTTTTTATTTTATATGTACATAAAAAGCCTCCCATATATATGTGTATTCCACATCTCTTTTAA